GTGCGTGCAGGAGGCAGCTGATCAATGATTCTCTCCCATCATTGGTGTTTCTATCCCTCTCTCCCTTCCTCTTTGAAATCAATAAAAATATTTTTTTTAAAAAAGAAAATGCTTACCTGAATGTACTTTATAACAGACGATCTCTTAAGCACTGGATTGAGCAATTGTCCTCAATTCTTCCATAAAGCATACTGACAGATCCTCTCCACACCGAGTGCTCATGGCTACACACCTACTCTCCACTACACCCTTGAATGTCCGGGCCCCATCCGTTGAGTTATTTGCTTATCAAAGAGTCACTTATGCTTTATCCCCTCACATTTTTAGTGCCAGTGTGAGCTGCTAAAATAAGTGGAAGAGACACTTGCAAAAATGGGAAAAATCATATTCTAGATTTTTTTTTACATGAAGTGCTTCATAAGTGTCTTTGAGTTGCCATCTAATTAATAAAAGAACTTCTAAAACTAGAACATGTAGATGATGCATATGACTGTGGAACTTTGATTTGCAAAATAAAACTCAAATGCAATTACATTAATTCTAAGTTAAAATGAGTTGTAAAATATATTGACATTTACATTAAATGAGTATTTTAAAGTATGCATACATACATGAACATGCATATGCATACACATGTAGTTATTGTTGTTATTTCCTATGTATTGGGCTTTTTTGATTAACTGACTAGTCACCCATTTCTGGCTACTTCAGAAAAGAGTGCTTCTAGTGGAAGCATAATAATGTCAACACAAAAATAAAATATTTTTAAAAAATCAGTGGTGGATAGGAGTGCATGCAAGCTGGTTTTGTACAGGTTGAAGGTTAGGGAATTGTTATTCCTGAAGAACCTGATGAATGTAAACACAGTATGTATTTGTATTATGAGTATTTACTTTAAAAACTCAGCTATCAATTAGAAGGCCAGGATATTAATTGAATGTGTAAACAAAAAAAGGCTTTTTTCACTAAGAAATAATTTATTGAGATTATTGTTATAAAATGCTAGGATTACTTATGTTTGTTAGTTCTAGACAGAGTTCTTTTATAAATAAATATAATTTAATTTCTTACTGTAGCATTTTGTAAGGTTGTGTTTTGTTTTATCTCTATCTATTTTATTCAAGCGAAATTTTTTTGAAGATAGGGAAAAGGCCTCAGCATTTTTGTGCTCATCACATTATGTGACACTGTGATTAGGTCGAAATATGTGATCAGTACCTTTTTCTAGGAACAAATGAATATCTGAAAATTACTGCTTTCCAGCTACTAAAATAAAGTGACTCTTTTGAGCTTTATTTCCAGACTACTTGAAAAAAAAATAATGATGTTATTTATATTTAAACCTGGAGGAGACATAAGTCTCATAGAATGTGGCCAACTTCTTTGAATAATGCATGATTACTTTATTTCATAGACTTAATGTGTCAATGAATTGAACTCATTCTGTACAAATGTTACCTAGGATTTTTTTCCATATTTTTCTTTAAATGTTAAGGAATGCAATTTAGAGTGCACATTTCCTAGCAGATGCTGCATAAATCCTTATTCATAAATATTTAGATCTTGACTTGATGAGAAAAATATAAGATTACAGTATATGTCACAGTCTTTCCACCTAAGTGTATAACTGTATTCTTGAATTATTCCTATTGCAGACATAATGTCTTTACAAGTATTTTATTACAGCAATGCATTTCCCTGAGGAAGAGTGTTTACAAATATATGAGTCAAGGTGATGTATTTTGCTGGTATTAGTTTCTTGTCTTCTTCCTGGTTTTGCTTTCATGACTCACAAAATATTTTACAACAAAATGAGCCAACAGGAATTGCCATATTAAAGTAGACAAAGGGTTTAGTTATTCTGGCAACTATTATATGAATGTGTTTTTGTTATTCTTAAAACTAGATAAATCCATACTTGCAAGAAATTATTACTCTAAATGATTAGCCTGTCTCCCAAATAATCTTAACTTAAAGTTTATCTGCTTCAAATTCTTCAGATTATGGCCACCTAGTAAAATTTCACACCCTAAATTAAACATATAATACTCAGCCTTCATGTCAGCTTAATTGTGTGTCTGTTTTTCTGAAATTAGACATATGTATTAAATCACTTTTAGTGTTATCACTTCAGAGTAAATTTGATCCATTTTGATGAATAAAACAATCTAAAATACTATAAAAGTAGCAAACTATTTAAAAATCTTTGGTCCTTATGGTTTCTTTTAACCTTTACCTCAGATGAGATTTTTGCCCTTGATTTTGTTTCTTTTACTCAAGGTTTCAATGGTTCTATTTTTTGAATCACTTTGCTCTGAAATAATAACAGTATGCCAGATCCTCATCATTCTATATAACTATATATTCTATCCTCATCCCTGCTGATGATGCCTGACTGAGTGGTGGAATAATGGAATGCTCTCAAGTTGTTGGAATTGACAAAATGGCCTAGCAACTAATTGGTGGATCCCAGGAGCTGACACTGTTTCTCTTTTTGATTATTTTGCACATGACTGAACACATCTAATCAAGTTTCTTTGCCTTGAAACTTCAGTTTCTACAGGTCCAGGAGAGCCAGGACTTCATCTGTTTTGTTCACAACTGAACACCCAGAACTCAGTACCTAGAATATAGAAAGGCACTTCATACATAACATTGAAGGACTGAATGAAAAAACTTGTAGTTACTTTAATTGCTGAATCAATGAGTTGATTCTGACATTTCATAGTTGGATTTCAAAGCTATCTTTAAAGTGTTTATATGTCATAATGGTTAGACTCAAGGGATTCAGAGCTAGAGCAAGCTAGGTGATCACATCTGAGTTACTTAGCATCCCTGAGTCTATTTTTCTCATATTCAAAGGAAAATAATAATAGTTATAAAGATTAAATGGCATAATATATATCCAATGATTATGTCTGTCACAATCGTTTAATGCATAGTAGTTATTCTTATTATGGACAGGAATGTTTTTCCCATAAAAGTAAATGTTTTTTAGTGTTTAAAATAGCATTTACACAGAAGCAGCTGTATTAACTATCCAGACGACGCTCTAACTTGATATGGTATCTACATCGCAGACGTGAAACAGTATCCACATCAGGGACACCAGCAAGCCAGGTGGCTGGGAGGAAGCGTGGGTGGCGGGGGGAGGGAGGGAGGGCAGGGCAGAGACGGGGACTGGGAGTCATCTGAGGACAGCAGGGAGGGAGGGCTGGCCCTCTCTCCCCAGACCTGTCCCTGCAGCAGCTGAGCATCTGTGAGCCAGGGTCCACTTCCCGCGCTGCTGAGATGTGCCCCTCCTATCTCCCCCTCACTGCGCCCCCCCCCCACTTTAAGACATGCCCTGTGTCCCTGCATTCACTCTGAGACCCAGCGGTGGGGGGACATGCAAGCTCTGCTCCAGCTGGTGCGAGGCTGACCTGGTCGCCACCTCCCACGGGACACAGGCCAAGAAATAAATAAATAAATGACACCCTGACCTGGGGCAGCCAGAGAGGTCTGGAGACTCCCTTCCAGCCTCAACATGGCCCCCCAAGCCTGAGCAAGATGGGTAAGGCCTGCACACTGGGTGACCAGTAGAGGCCAGGTCCAGTAACCACCTCTTGGCTTGGCCTGGGGACCTGTATTCAGTGATGTGGGCAACGGGGGGGGGGGGGGTCAGCCTGAGCACAGAGCCCGTCCCCCTGCCCGCCCAGGTCCACAAGGACACAGCTGCTCTGATCAGGGACAGACCTGCTGAAGCTAGATAAGGAGGCCGGGGCTGCCTGCCATCCAGCCTTCCAGCCTGCCCCCACTCTGTCTAGCCCAGACCCCACAGCATGGCCCCTGGTGCATGTAGAAAGCTGGCCTGATCCCTGAAGGCCATGGTTAAGGCGAGGCCACACAAGCTCCAGATGCAGCACCTCCTAGGGAGGTGGGGGTGGGGGGGAGAGGAAGCAGGACACAGGACCACCACAAGGTCACCCCGAGGAAGGCATCCTGTCCTCCACAGGAATTTAATTTGCTTGGAAATTCACTCTCAGAAACCAGTGTTAGGACAGGATATTTTATAGAAACTTCATTGAACTGTTCAAAATATTAGAAATTAAGAGCAAGTCATTTGTTAAGATGAAGAGCTTGGAAATGGGAGAAAAGAAAAAAAATAGAAGCTAGTAGCCATTTTTAGTTTTTCAAAAGTGTCTAGTACTGTTATGTCAAAGTTAGTTTCTTGGAACACCATCCTTGTAAGATTTCTGAAAGTAAAATAATGATCTGATATTAACATGTCTACTTTTAATCCTAACCTTCACATTTATTTAATCAAGAAAATACTTAGGGTGATTCTATACATACCAATGAAGAAGATCATAAACAGAAAAAAAAGTAAATTGACTTATTTTGTCTTGTAATAACACAATGAACCCTAACTGGTTTGGCTCAGTAAATAGAGCATTGGCCTGCGGACTGAAAGGTCCCAGGTTCGATTCCGGTCAAGGGCATGTACCTTGGTTGCAGGCACATCTCCAGCAGGGGGTGTGCAGGAGGCAGCTGATCGATGTTTCTCTCTCATCAATGTTTCTAACTCTCTATCCCTCTCCCTTCTTCTCTGTAAAAAAATCAATAAAATATATTTAACAAAATAACACAATGAATGATGTGTTGAATGCTAGCATAAGAAAGGTTTGAATTATTAAGTGCTGTTCACTGGAGCTTTCTGTGATGATGCAAACGACCCATGAGCTGTCCAAAACAGTACCCATGAGCCACATGAGGCTATGAGCACTGGAAATGTGGCCAGTGCTAATTATAAACTGACTTTTAAAGTTTATTTCATTTTAATTAAGGTAAATGTAAACAGCCATGTATAAGCTTATGGATACCATATTAGACAGCGGAGATCCAGATAATATGCCAGGATATTCACTTTTTTCGGCAAAAGTATAAACATAGGATCATGTTTGTCAATTATAGAGTTTTCATACCCAGAAGATGGTAAACCTAAAATAAAATATATTATGGGCACTGTTTTTTTTGTGTGTGGCTACATTGAGACACAGGTTATGCTTCCATCACAGTAATCTTATTACAGTGGTGACAATGAGACCTGTAACATTTAAAAAATAAATAAATAAATAAATAAATAAATAAAAATTAATTAATTAATTAAAAAATAAAATTAAATATATTATGCATGTTTTTGCTATATAGTCCAATTTGTTTGTATTCATTAAGCCCTTTTGTTTCATTTAAGTAGAGTTGTTAATTGAGCAAATGAATATACGCTGGGTCAAAATTGTATAGAACTGTGGTATTAGGTTTTAATCTCTCTGAAGATAAAAATAGTGAGAAAAGACTTATTCAGACCTGAGGATATTTTTTCCAAAGGCAAAACACTTCTCCCTTAATTTTCTTATCTCTCTCTTCACCTTCATTATTAACCCCCCAACCCGCTCTGAAGAAATAGATCATTTTATTTAGGTACAGAATGGCAAAGTAAATTTACAATATAGATATTCATTTATTTTTTGTAAATGCCACTGGGATTACATGTATTACTGTCTTGTCTTTGTTATTTAACTTAGGAAAGGTGAAGACACACACCCATACATAGAGCACATGATCATAATTTCCCTGTTTTCTTTTTAATCTCAGTTCTGTATCCTTATTTTCACTTTGAGGTTTTATCTTCCATAGCATAAAAATATCTTTTTTAAGAGAGTATTTTAAAAATGATATTGAATCCTAGAATGTTACTTAAACTCTTATGTGAATGCATGAGTCTTGAATATATTCCTGATTCTTTTACTTCAATCTTAAAGCATTCCTGCAGTTCTTGGGCAGGGATAACAAAGGAGTTCAAACTATTTCCAGGCTAATAAAAGAAGTTGACAATGACCACTCTGAGTGCTCAGTTGATCCTCAAATTGCAACTTCATTCTCAGGGTTTCATGGAGACCATATGCCATGAGCAGGCCATGTTGCTCAAGGAAAGTGGTTCTCAACTCCTGGTTGCAAATTAGAATCGTATGGGAAATGTTTAACAAATATCACTGCTCAGACTCTACCCAAAACCAATCTATTCAGATTCTCTGGGGCCCAGGCATCTATATTTTAAACTTTCCCAAATGGTGTTAATGTGCAACTGTGTTTGAGAGCCTTGGTTCCAATATGAGCTAATATACTATTCCATTCTATCTTCAAGTCAGATATGTATGAAATATTAAAGTAGCTCTAATAGAAGCATTTTGATTTTCAGGTTCTGACCAATTCCAGCTTACATAAATCTTACTTAAGATCATTATTATGCCACTTGATTGTGGTTTGTCCACCTTTTTCTAACTGTATATCATAGATGGTCTTAAAATAAAGGTGGGCATGAAGATTGGGGATGTGCAAAAAGATACAGTAACTGCTTTAAATAGCAGAGACTCATAGCATCAGCACTGTATCCAATGAGCTGAGAGAATGTGAAAAATGTAAGATAACTATAGTCATTATACAATTCTAAGTTCCTCTTTTAAAAAAGTTTGTCAGTGATCTAAACTTCCTAATCAATGAATGCAATTCCAGATAGTATGCCACAGATAATTTTAAAAGTTATGCCTGGTCAACGGGGAGGTATTACTGTTGGTTTTTGAAATCAGTTCTCCTAAAACACAAATTATGTCTCCATTAAGATATTATCTGAGATTAGATTACTCTCTTTTTCCTGCCTCCACTTCCTTCACAGAAGTATCATTATTCTGAATGTAGGGTCCCTAAGCCTGGCCGGTGATGAGGGCCAATTGGGACCTTTCCTTCCCCCAGCTGCCGGCTCCCGGCTGGGGCCTTCCTTCATTCCGCGCCACCCCCTGATGGTCAGCGCACATCATAGCAACCGGTCAAACTTCCAGTCGAACTCTTGAGGGGACAATTTGCATATTAGCCTTTTATTATATAGGATTCCCATAGTTATATATCCCTAAACAACATAGGATATTATTGTGTACTAGAGGCTTGGTGCATGAAAATTCATGCACTGGAGTCAGGGGGGTCCCTCAGCCTGGCCTGCCCCCTCAGAGGCAGGAGGTGACCCGGCGATCAGGGGAAGACGATGCCTCATCACACCTCTGCTGCTGCCACTGATGGCAGCACAAACCTTGGGCGGCCCTGGTTACCTGAGCCTCGGGCGGGCCTGGGTGACAGGGCAGCTGCCATCTGAAGCTTGCCTGCACCTCAGGCCAGCCCTAGGTGGCTGGGGGGCTGAGGGGACTGGGGGACTCTGGAGGCAGGCACCCGGCCTTCCACCCCGGCGGGCTGAGGGGACTGGGTGACGCCATCTTGTGGCTGTGGGAGCCGCCATCTTTGAGGGCATGGCAGTCAATTAGCATATTCCCTCCTTATTGGTGGTGGGTGCTGCCATCTTTGTGATGGCATGACAGTCAATTACCATATTCCCTCTTTATTAGATAGGATACTTTTATGTGTGGTTCCCAAATGTGATAATCATCTTCACAAAGTTCTCAGTCATTTTTATTTAATTTATGCATATTTTCTTGTCTTTAACTGCTAAATTTAATATCTCCATTTCATGTTCATTAGAATCTGTCCTTTTCTTTCATCCTGCTTTTTTGTTTGTGGTACCTTATTTATTTTTATGCTGTGTAATTTTAAATTCTGAGCTTCAATTCAGGGAATTTTCCTATGAGGACAGTCATGAGTCATTTTTTGGGATTACCTTCTTCCAGAAAGGTAATACATTTACCTTTATGAGGTGGCCCAAGTTACTACCAACTAAGAATATCTTTAATTTTATGGTATTGAGTTTTATGGACTATGTGGTAGCAAATAGGAACTCATATCACAAATGAGGGCAGTAATGAAATTGTGAAATCTCAGTGGAACCTTTTCATTTTTTTTATTTTTAATACTAGAGGCCCAGTGCACGGATTTGTGCACCAGTGGGGTCCCTCGGCCTGGCCTGCACCCTCTCGCAATCTGGGACCTTTTGGGGAATGTCGGTCTGGCGTTTTCGGCCTGATCCCTGGTGGGCTGAGGGACCCCCCATCAGTGCACAAATCCATGCACCAGGCCTCTAGTATGCATATAAGATCTTTGGTTAATCTCTTCCTGCTCTTCGCCCTTCCCCCTTTCCCCTTCCCTCTGAGATTCATCAGTCTGTTCCATGTTTCCATGCCTGTGAGTTGAGCATCTTCCCCCTGGTGGTCAGTGCACATCATAGCTACCGATCGAATGGTCGAATGGTTGAACAATTACTTAGGCTTTTATATATAGAGATAATTTATTGATTTCAAAGAGGAAGGGAAAGGGAGAGAGAGATAGAAACATCAATAATGAGAGAGAATCATTGATCTTCTGTCTCCTGCACACCCCACACTGGGGATAGAGCCCACAACCCAGTCATGTGTCCTGACCAGGAATCGAACTGTGACCTCTTGGATCATGGGTCAATGCTCAACCACTGAGCCATGCCAGCCAGGCTTAGTGGAACCTTTCTAAAATTTTCTTCCCAGAACCCTAGCTTAGATAGATAATTTTGTCATTGGCCTTTGATAGGAGATTAATTTTTGTCTAATTAATCATTTCATTGCAGGTGTAGATATTGGCTTGGTCTGGGGTCTTTCGTGTTCCACCTTGACCTGTTCCCATTCCACTCCTTGCTAAGAATCAAGTTCTTATCTCGTCCTTTACCAGCTGTGGAGGTTCAAGTGTCTTGGATACTGAAAAAAGCAAAATATCACCAGAATAGAGTAATTTCAGCTCCATTGTATCACTCGATTAGTAGCTTCCATTTCATCTTTGAATGGCTCCTGGGAATTTCCCTTAGCTTCCTGAGAACTCAGCTATGTAATTAAATACCTCTTGGTCATATTTATCCAGCACAGTAGTTGATATGTAACAGGCAGTTTTTCAGTGGAGTTAACCTGTCTTATCACTGAAAACAGATGTGTCCTATATTACTAAAAGTCTTGATGATGAAGCTCCTGGTAATGAAGTGTATCATCCACCTCTTACTACATGTACTCATTCACTTGACAAATATTAATATCTCCTCTGTGTCTTTCACTCTTCTGTACCTGGGGATAAACTGGTCATCAAAACTGTTGCTAATGTCAAGGAGCTTACATTCTAGAGAGAGAAACAAACACAAAATTAAATGTGTGTGTGTGATTTATAAATATGTGTTATACAGTATACACAGTAAATACAAGAGCGTTTCATATTCTCAAGTTGATCCCAAAGAAAATCAGTCTTGGGTCAGAATTTGATGGGTGATATTTCATTTTATTTTTTGAAATATATTTTTATTGATTTCAGAGAGGAAAAGAGAGGGAGAGAATGATAGAAACATCAATGATGAGAGACAATCATTAATTCTGGCCCCACACTGGGGATCGAGCCCAAAACCTGGGCATGTGCCCTGACCAGGAATTGAACCGTGACTTCCTGGTTCAAAGGTCAACACTCAACCAGTGAGCCACAAGGGCGGGGTGATGGGTGATATTTTAGATATAATGACTAGTGAAGGCTTCTCAGAGGAGGATACATTGATCAGGTAGAAAAGTAGTAAAAGAGCTAAGCAGATGGACAGAAGTTGTATGAGAGTTCTGGGCAGACATTTAAGGGCCAAAACCTAACAATGGGATTTGCAATGATTTTATGGAGTTAAAGAAAAACTCAGAATATAATCCTTTTAGAGAAAGTAGAATTTTTGGAACACTAGGTCAGTCAGTTTGTCATTAAAGAAGTAGAGATATCCTAATCAGTTCATTCACAACCAAATCAATCATTCAGCCAAATAAAAAAATATTGAATACTTCATACATTAGGTGTTGCAGAGTGAAGGGGAGAGGGAGGTGGGAAGAGATTAACCAAAGAACTTAGATGCATATATGCTTAATCCACAGACACAGACAATAGTGCAGAAGGTGGGGGGGCAGAGGAGGTAAGGGGAGGGTGCAGGGATGAGGGGACCAATGGGGGGGGGGAGGGAAGGGGACATCTGTAATACTTTCAACAATAAAGTTAATTTTTTTTTTTTTTAAAAAAAGCTAAACACCAGTAACTCAATGTGTGCCCACAATTTAATAGGGAAGGCAGGCGATAACCTCATG